ACTCATATATGAAACAGAATGAAATGTAATGCAACAAAAATGATTCACGGGATTAAACTAGGAATAAGCAAGACGAATTGACAATTTATTCGATGCTGTCTGTATACAAACGACTGGAAGAAAGCTCAAATTTGAGTCAATTCATGATTATGATAATTTATAGTAACAATGAGGATACTAACAAAAATAACACGATTAACACGTAATAATAGCATAAATAGTGAATAAACACATGAGATATGTACAATCATGAGGGTGTGGATAAAATAGAATCGATCATGAACGACTGATTTGGGGTGAGAGTTGGAAGTGGTTTGTGGAATTCGATGAGTTTGGAGTTGAGATATTGAGGTAACATTAATAGATTAGATGTTTGATTAGTACTGAGAGCATTAATCATATTGTTGTTGCTGGTGTTGTTGTTGTGATTACCTATGGAATATGGTCTGTCAAACAGCGGTGATACCGGATCAATGAGCTGTTGGGATAATAGACAACGATTCGCGAGCATCCACGGTAATCCAGGACGACAAGAGAGCGAGAGATGCTCTGAAGGAAGGGCTGTCTCCAGTTCGTCGTTATTTCCACAAAATTGATTGACCTTGAAGATCGCGTTTGTCACTATTAATAGTGGTATTTCTAATATTATATCTCTATCCATTTCTGGTATCAATACTGTCTTTGATGTCATTATCAGTGCCAATTTCATAATTATTACTAACATTAATAATGTCATTGATTTCATTATTATCACATAATTATCAACGTCTTAAATCCTCAGCATCGATACCTTCCATTATTGAATAACGATTTTCAGCGATTATCACTAGTTGTGTCGAATCGTTATCAGCGATATTTTGATCAGCATTGATATGATCAAATACTGATATGATCAATTTGAATAATTCCAAGGATTTACCTTCCAACAATGAGTCTACAGGAGGAGTTTATTCAAAATTATGATTTGTATTTTACCTACTCACTAAGCAAATAGTCAATGTCAAGTGAGAACACTAACCTTAAACCTCTTCCGTCTCCTTAGGCAACTACCGTTTTCAAACATTCCAACGGCCATCGGATGTACTGCCCAATACGATCCTTTTCCGGGCCTATCCGGCCGCCTCGGTATCTATGAGATTGAAAGGATCTGATTTAAAAAAAAGAGAAAACTGTGGGCGACTAATATCAGTGATAAGATCGAATAGAGAATTTTTCATCAAAAACAGAATTTGAATTTCGTATTTTTAACGTTACATAATTGTAAATAATTTCGGAGAGTCACATCTGAGAATATTGAACTGTTCAAGACGATAGACAAAAAGTGTGGTAGCATGCTCAATCGACTACTCACTTTAACAAAGCAATCGTTAAATGACAAATTGTGTCTGAGTGAATTCTGCCACCGTTGCGTGTTCTTACGATAGAACGGGAATTTATCCATTATAAATTTGTAAATTTCAGTCAGCGGTAACATCTTCTCTTCAGAATTCTGTATTGCCATATAAGTTAGCCATATGTATGAGTACGGCGGTTTCTGAAATGAAAAAACGCAAATCTCTGGTTTGGATGATATGAAGATCTTCAGAAGGACAGGGTCATTCTTGACTAACTGCTAATCAAAAGACATTATCAGAGTGTTTGACGATGAATAGGTGTTCGAAAAAATTACTCACAATCAGTCAGACTCAACTTTTGAACTCGTATAAAAGCTCAAGCT